CAGCCATTAGTTCTCTTTCATAGACTGATTTTTGTTTAGCTTGGAGGGAAAATGCTTTACTTAGGTACGCTATGGGTCGTTTGTGTTGCACCAGCACAGCTCTCATTCCTTGGCCTGAAGCATCTGTCTGGATCTCAAATGGAAAGCTGAAATCAGGGGCCGCCAGCACTGGAACTGAGGTCATAGCCTCCTTTAAGGCATGAAAGGCCTGCTGAGCCTCTTGATCCCAATTAAAACAATTTTTCTTCAAAAGCCGTGTGAGTGGTTGGGCTATGCTGCCATATCCTTTAACAAACCTACGATAATACCCTGTTAATCCCAAGAACCCGCGGAGGCTTTTCACATTGGTGGGTGCGGGCCAGGAAACCATAGCGGCAATTTTTTGGGGGTCAGCCTCCACCCCGTGTGCTGAAATTAAGTGCCCAAGGTATTCCAGTCTAAGCTGTCCGAATGAGCATTTTTTCCAATTCACAACCAGGTCGTGGTCATCCAAGATTTGAAGGACTTGTCGAAGGTGTTGAAGGTGGGCTTCCAGGTCACTACTGTATATCAGGATATCATCAAAGAAAACCAATATGAACTTACGCAAAACCTGTTTGAAGATGCTGTTCATAAGTGACTGAAATGTTGAAGGAGCGTTGGTCAATCCGAATGGCATCACCAAGAACTCGTAATGGCCCACATGTGTTCGGAAAGCTATTTTGGGGATGTCTTCGTCCTTGATCAGAATTTGATGGTACCCGGAGCAGAGATCCAGTTTAGAGAAGATGGTTGCACCTGCCAGTTCGTCCAACAGTTCCTCGATGGTCGGGATGGGAAATTTGTCGAGGACTGTTATCTCGTTGAAGGCCATGTAATCTACACAAAACCTCCAACTTCCATCTTTTTTCTTGACTAACAACACCGGGCTGGCAAATGGACTGGTACTTGGTTGGATGATATGGGCTGCTAACATTTCCTCCACTAATTTTTGATTTCGTTTTTCTGGAAATAGGGGTACCTATAGGGTCTAATGTTGGGTGTATAGGCTCCTTCCTTAAGGTTTATGGCATGGTCATGGGAACGGTGTGGGGGAAGTTTAGAGGGCTGGTCGAAGAGATGCCGATACTCATCCAAAACTACCTGAACTTGAGGACTGATGTCTTCGTCTATGTGGCTTGGCTTTTCTTCGATTGCACAACATTCTACTAGAATCCCTCCCCCGGTGCTGTTGATGGACCGTAACATAGACTTCAGGGATACACCGGACTTTACCAGAGACGGATCCCCTTGTAAACTGACCCTCACCCCTTCCACTTCAAACCTCATAGTCAATTTCTTCCAATTGGCACACACGTCCCCCAAGGAACTCAACCATGTAATACCCAAAATCACATCGGCACCCCCCAATTGGAAAGGAAAGAAATCCTGTCTAATCTGAACTCCTTGCACGATCAGATGGATCTGTCGGCACACCCCTTCCCCTTTTACTGTTACTCCATTCCCTATCATCACCCCAAATCTCTTCCCTTTTTCCACTGTCAGTCCCAACCTCTCTACAAGTTCCTGTGAAATAAAGTTGTGGGATGCCCCACTATCGACCAACACCACAACCTCAGTATTACCAATCTGCCCTTTTACTTTCAAAGTGTGATCAGATGTGATGCCCACGATGGAGTTAATGGACAGCGCTAAATCGACACCATCTGGGTTAGGAATGTCGTCGTTTTCCGGTGGGTTTTCAGCTTTCTCATCACTGTCATCCTCCAAGGCTAATAGGATCTGCAGGGACTTACTACGACAGCGGTGATTAGGGCCAAATTTCTCGTCACATTTAAAGCAAAGGCCCTTTTCACATTTACTCTGGATCTCAGCCTCCGTCAGCCGCCGGAAACTGCCGCCTGATCCCCCTCGGAAGTTCGTCGTTCCTATTTCTCGAGCTCTTTCGCGTCTATCTGGTGCACGAGAATCGCGAGATGACGCGATCTGACTTGCTTCAGGTGGTTTTGTTGAGTTGGGCCACCAGGCGGGTCAGGTCGGGTCGGATCCGGGTGGGAGACTAACTTGGGTGAGTTGGGCCACCATGTCTGACGAGTTGGGTCTAGGCTGTTGGACACCCTTGAATAATTTTCCCTGGAGCCTTGGGCCCTAAATGTTTTGGGCCTCCATTTTTCCATTACCCAATTTTTTTCCTCCACCCTATGGGCCTGTTCAATGACTTCTTGAAGGGAGTTGGGCCTCAACACTCTCAACTCAGCTCTAATTTCTTCGCTAAGCCCATTTATGAAAACCCCCATTAACAATTCCTCTCCCAAATCTTTCAACGGAGCTGTAAGGGCTTCGAAATCTTCCCTATATTCAGTCACGGTGGAAATTTGTTTCAGCGCCACCAGTGCCTCATGTGCAGACCCTTGGAACGACGGTCTGAATCTTGCGATTAGAGCAGCCTTGAGCTCTTCCCATGTCTTGAAAGGATCTCTTCCTTCTACCCACTGATACCAGTTTAGCGCCCTGCCCTCCATGCAAACAGCCGCTACCTCCACCATCTCCGATGGTCCATATTTGTTAATAGCGAAGTATCGGTCGGCACGAAAAGTCCATCCAAAAGGGTCCTCCCCACTGAAGATTGGAAGCTCCAGCTTACGGGTTTTTCTTTCCCCTTTTCCACTGTCCCCTACTGTGTCTTGTTCGTGTTCACGGCCATCACCTGAATCTGTATTCCCGGACGATGACTGGTGCTTCTCTTTTTCATGATAACGTTTCTCCTCCCTCTCGTCTCTCAAACTCAACAATTCTCTCATCTCAGTCAAGTATTCCTTAAGACTCCCCACATCAGTTTTGATTGAACTCATATCTTCTTGAACTGATTTCATCTCTTTTTCCATATTATCCATCCTATTATCCATTTTTGATTTGACCATTCCCCAGCGTTAAATCTGATGGCAACTTGGCTCTGATACCAATCTGATGGAACTCCCTGCAAATAGAACCACAGCCACGCACAAACAGCACACAAACACAGGAATTGCACAAGTGAAAGAACTGGAAATTGATATTAATGGAAACTAAGATAGAGCAACCAGCCAAATGACAAAGAAATGGAAATAACAAGCAGAATCCCAGCAATTCGAGGAGCTGGGGACCTCCCTAACCAGCCAATGAATAATATTCTAGATATCTTCCCTCCTTACTTTCGTCTTCTTAAATAATCAACTCTTCAACCAACTGACAGCAAGGTGTCCCTTTCCATAACAAACTTCCCCTGTACGTGTCCCTTATCACAACAGATTTCCCATGCCTAATCACCCTCCTTGCACACATCATCATTCTCTACTTGACTCACACTTATTGTACCCTTGCCCCTCTTCCTTCCCCTGCCCTTGGACTCATAGACCTTACGTATGGGGGGTCTAACATATATAAGGGCTTTGTATGTACTGTGAATATAAAGATAAAGACACTAAATTAATAACAAGATGCAATAAGTACAAATTATTAACAAGCCACCTACAGCGCTCAATGAAAAGGGTCCTACTTAAAGATTAATACACCAAGAATGTTGTGTGTTATAATAGCCTAATCATATATTATATATTTTTAAACCATACAGGTAGTGTGTGGTAGTCATGTAAATTGGTAAGAATGTAAAAATTGCAAATCAGATTTAATAAGTTTACTTATTGGAGGTAATTATCAGGTAGAGGGGCAGTAACATCCATACAAGTAATCTACTAGGTTGGAAGAGTGGATGTAACTATTTATAGTGGTTTCAGATAGTTTTCAAGGATTAATTTAGTAAACAACTCATCTTATTCCATTATGCTCCACTCCCTTTATGATGAAAACAAACAGCTATACTCATTTTCATACAGCATTACATCCATAAGCAGAGTTCACTTAGACAAGAGACAGAAGCAAGAGCTCTTTAACTTGACATAAGTAGTCTAAGAAAAATGAAACCTGAAGATATGTAAAATAGGCGACCTCTTTCATATATCAAACTTGGATCCAAGAAGAAACTGAATTCGGCTAAAGTTCTGAACCAAATAATTATTGCTCACCTCAATTAGAATCAAAAACTGAAAATACAACGGATGAACAATTAAAAGTAATGCTGTGAACTTCAGTACATTGATAGAGTGAGTTGCAATTCTATTATAGATCAATCAGAGCAACTAAATCAACAATTTTTCCTTCCTACTACACACTGCTACAAATTTGCTAAAGAACACCATAACCTGAAAACCAAATTATTACATCAACATCCACTACTATTTACTTCTAGCTAAGATAACCACACACTGCTTTTCTTCTTCTTTATTATAACCCAGAAATGCTCAACAAACTTCAATTCAAAACTTGTGCCCCATTCAAACCCTACATTCTAAGAAAAGCATATAATCGCAGAAACAATGCATTATAATCTAATTCTAATTGATTTATTTGCTAGATCAACAAATTTTATTTTTGAACATATAAACAGTAATAAAAGCTACAAATTCTACTAAACATATTCCAGCTATCAATTAAACAATAACATAAACAAAATTTCTACTGGTTTATACAACACAATTCATCCATTCAAATTAAAACCATGAAATAAAAATAAAAAGAAAATAATTATCTCAACCAAATTAGGGTCAAGTGAAGCTATGGTTTGAGTATTGCCTCCTTGATTCATCATCTCATTAACATCCTAATTTTAGTTCATTGTAAAAAAAATTATATAACAAAGCCAAAACCCTAAATACGAAACTGAACAACTCTTAACCTTCCAAAATAAAACTAAAAAACCCAAAGATCTTGGGATCAAAAAACCCAAAGATCAGAAAGAGCGGTTGGAGGCTGCGGAGAAAGTTTGAAAGAGTGCAGAGAAAACAGAGGAAAAACATGGTTTACTAATAAATAAAAGTAAAGAACGAATTCTTTTCTATCAAATTATTTAGTTGAAGAATTATTTCGTTTTTTATTTTTATTAATTAATAGAATTATTCTGTTATATTGTGAGTGCATTAACTTACCCACTTGCATCTTCCTCAATTCTTAACTTACCCACTTGCATCTTATTCAAAAGTCAAGTCCCCCACAAATGCGCCTAAATCAAACACATTTTTCTGGGCATCACCAAAAGAACGCCCTACATACAATAAAATTTTCAAATTTAAAATCCCAACAAAAGTAAACTATCCAATTTCTCAATAAAGGTAAAGCAAATAACACTTGACAAATAGAAATTACCACCACAACATTCGCCATCTTCAGATGCGCACAACAGCTTCACTTGCACAAATTTTAAAAAAAATTCAAAAGAACTTCAAAATTAAGTGAAAAAAAAAAAAAAAAACCGTATAATAAAATTGGATGTTCGTTTAATTGCTTGTTTACCCAGAATCGGCGTTCAAAATCTGTCCATTGCTTGGAATGTTGTGGATATTGCAGCGAAGGCGAAGCTGTGTAGTACCAGAATTGTAAAAAACCCAAAGATCTTGGGATAAAAAATTCCAAAGATCAGAAAGAGCCGTTGTAGATCTTGGGATCGAAAGAGCCGTTTGAGGAGAAAGTTTGAAAACTGCAGAGAAAACAGAGGAAAAACACGGTTTACTAATAGATAAAAAGTAAAGAATGAATTCTTTCTATCAATTTATTTAGTTGAAGAATTATTCTGTTTTTATTTTTATTAATTAATAGAATTATTCTGGTATTTTGTGACTTGTGAGTGCATTAAATGGTCATGTGCAGAGTCAAGTTGTACAAATAAAATAAAATAGAATTATTCTGTTATATTGTATTAATACTAGTAGACATTTCTACAAACACATAGTTAAAAAGACTAAGGATATAAAGTTCTCTCACATTTCTTTAAACATAATAAATAAATAACAAAAGCTTGTTTTCATTCAGAGAACATACCCACTCCTTCTTAACGTTTCCCATATAAGTATTAAACTTTTGCATTTTTTTTTTAAGAAAGTATAAGTATGCCAAACTGGTGATGGTACACTGTGGAATATTGGCAATGGTTTGATTTAAGGTGATTTCTGAAGCCCAAATTAGGCCCAGTCCAAAAATATATGGGCAGCCCAATGTCAACCCAAGCTCAGAAATATTATTTTTATTTATTTGTTCGTCTCTTATGCCACAAGCATATAAAATTAAATACTTTAGAGTGATCATATTTATGTGAAGATGACATGAATTTTTTGGAGGACTTATTAAATAATCATATGATTTTGGTCATTAATATTATAATTACATTATTTTTGTGTGGATATTTAGTCCCTCATATTTTATCTTTCAAAAGTTTACCCCATAAAAATGTTTTGACACATGGCATGTTTTTATAAACTCCATTTACTTCTAAATATACTATTTTATTTATATTTTTAATATTTTTTATGATTCTTGTTTTGAATGTATCATTTAATCTAATTCTCAAGTAGGGGGATTAAAAGATATTCAAACATGAAATTCGTTCACATGAATATTGCTTTCAAGATTCAAAAAATAATAGTATAAGGATTTGAACACATCAAACTAACTTGTAAATTTTAGAAAAGTACAAAAGAATAAAAAAGTAAAGAAAAATTAACAAAACAACTTACAAATCATAAATTTCATCTCCATTTCACTTACATGATCTTAATCAAACTCTTTCGATAATATAAATTACATCTTCATTGTTTGAAAATAAAATTAGGGTTAATTGAATTAAGGTTTATGATTGAAAGAGAAAATAAAACTTTTAAATACGTATAACTCCTTTACGTGTTTTTAAATTTTAAGTAATTTTAAAAATAAAATTGTAATTAAAAATTTAACAATAATTGGGATCAAATGAGACAAAATATGGGAGGCTAATAGTACTCTGAAATAATTCTTTTATCACAGATCTAGTTTCAAAATTATTCATATCTTGTGTCAAGACATTCTAATCACATAAAAAAAAAGGCTAAACAAATTATCCATGATTTATTATTATTATTATTATTATTATTTTAGCTTTGGGGAAAATGAAAATAATAAAACTGAAAAATTACAATTCCCACGTGTAAAATGGAGTACTTATCCTTAATCACACACGATATGAAGTGAACCAAAATTACACAATGTTACAGAATTTGAATTTCTTCTCCCAAAGAAAACGCTAATGGGAACAAGAACAACATACAAAACGCTAATGGGAACAAGAACAACTATGTTCTGTGTTACCACCAGAAGCCATCTTGTAACTGTGCTCCCATGTATCCACTGGCGCTGCCTGTGCGTGAGGGACATGACGAGGATGTTTCTCTCTCTTGTCACCCTTTATTTGCTTCAATGCATGCTTAAGGGCCGGCAACAAAGCCTCCATGCATTCAGCAACCGCATTCGGATTCCCAGGCATGTTAATGATCTGAGTACACAAAATAAGCAGAATGCCATTGTAAAATGTTCAGATTAGCAACATTAAAGAATTGATGTTGATTATATGTACAGTAACATTACAAAAGCATCACATGTAGCTTTTACAGGAATTTTAATTCCCAGAAAATGATTCTAGCAAAACTCCACATGACCAAATTCAGAAATCAATTCAGCAAACTCAGGAGCCAAATATATAAGGCTCTAGATGTTTACCATGCTAGAGACAAAATAAGGTCAAATTACTTTCTGGTATTTGCATAGCTATCTTTTGAGAAAAAAGGTTCGCCGCTGTTATTAAGGCATAGTGAAAAGTTTTAGGGCACCAGAGTATGGTTTCGAAGTTAAATTTCCTTCAAATCACCAGTCTCATTTTATTAATAAAGCGCTTCAAACAAATCCCCCAACAGCATGAACTTCATAATCTTTCACTACAGTTACCAGAATATTTATTAGAATTAATTACCATACACAACATGGCAAAAGATAATGATGGCAGGTCACTGATAGAATGCAATTATAAAAGCCTTTCAGAAAAAAGAGGGGAAAAAAAAAAGAGAAGAAAAAAACTCATGATGAGCATCCTTCACACTACAATATCTATGGGTAACAATAGCATAACAATATTGCAGCTTACCAATGTTGATCCTCTTATCCCTGCAGCAGAGCGCGAAAGCATAGCAAATGGTGTCACCTGTTTTAGACAACAGAAAGGAAGAAAGAATTCTTACTCATGAGAGCGCCATTCAGTAAAAGCCCAAATAAACAGAGTAGAAAATATATATTCAACAATGATAACAAAGAGGAAAGCGACCATGAATTAATGAGGGGTGTGCAGCACAGNAGGGACACTGGTCATGATCCTTTTTAACTCTTCAAAAGCCCGTTGAGCTGTTGTATTCCATACAAAAGAATCCTTCTTTAATAGGCCAGTGAGAGGAAGAGCTATTTTACCATAATCGCACACAAAGCGACAGTAGTATCCTATCAGCCCAAAAAATCCTCTGAGTGCCCGGATATCCTTCGGTTCTGGCTATTTAGTTATGCTGTCAATTTTTTATGGATCCACGGCCACACCTTTAGCTAAGACTATATGTCCCAAATATTCCAACTGGAACTGCCCAAACTGACATTTCTTCTTATTTACCACTAGCTGATTCTCCAACAATACTTGCAAAATAATGCTTAAATGCTTCGCATGTTCGTCCATCTCCCGACTGTAAATCAGTATATAGTCGAAGAAGACTAATAAAAATTTTCTTAAGTATGGTCTGAATGCGTCATTCATGACTGCCTGAAAAGTTATCGGTGCATTGGTAAGGCCGAAAGGCATTACGAGAAATTCATAGTGCCCTTCGTGTGTTCGAAAAACAGTCTTGTGGGTGTCTTCGGGTTTCACTCGGATTTGATGATATCCAGATTTCTAATCAAGTTTAGAAAACACCGTTGCTCCTTCTAACTCATCAAACAATTCGTCGATAGGGGGAATTGAAAATTTATTCGGAATTGTCACCTTGTTAACTGCCCGATAGTCTACACAGAATCGCCACCCTCCATTTTTCTTTTTCACCAATAAAATAGGACTGGAGAACGGACTGATACTAGGTTTTATAATTCCTGAAGTTAACATTTCCTTGACAATACGCTTTATTTCATTTTTCTAGTAATAAGGGTACCGGTATGGCCTGAGGTGGGGTGGTTATGCTCCCGAAACTAAATGAATGGCATGATCTTTTGATCGGGCAGGCGATAACTCCGGAAGTGGCTCAAAGACTCGGCTAAACTTTTCCAAGACCTCTAGCAGTCTGTCATCGATGCTCCCTATCTGTTCACACTGAGTTTGTATCTGCCCAAATTCTATCAAACAGCCCTGACCTTCATTCTGCAGTGCCTTAATCATCGCCTTGAGGGACCATTGTTTTGCTAAGAGACGGGTCCCCATACAGACAAACTGTCTGGTTTCCCAATGTGAACTTCATAATCTGTTTTCTCCAATCCGTAACAGTCTCGCCTAAAGTCTCAANTGCCTGAAGCATCAGTCTCTATAATAAATTCCTGGGTAAAATTTGGCATCCATAGGACAGGAACACTGGTCATGATCCTTTTCAACTCCTCAAAAGCTTGTTGAGCTGCTGTGTTCCATACAAAAGAATCCTTCTTTAACAGGCCAGTGAGAGGTAGAGCTATTTTACCATAATCTCGCACAAAGCGACGGTAGTATCCCGTGAGTCCAAAAAATCCTCTGAGTGCCCGAATATCCTTCGGTTCTGGCCATTTAGTTATGCTGTCAATTTTTGATGGATCTACGGCCACACCCTTAGCTGAGATTATGTGTCCCAAATATTCCAACTGGAACTGCCCAAACTGACATTTCTTTTGATTGACCACTAGCTGATTCTCCAACAATACCTGCAAAATAATGCTTAAATGCTTCGCATGTTCGTCCATCTCCCGGCTGTAAATCAGTATATCATCGAAGAAGACCAATAAAAATTTTCTTAAGTAAGGTCTGAATACGTCATTCATGACTGCCTGAAAAGTTGCCAGTGCGTTGGTAAAGCCGAAAGGCATCACAAGGAATTCATAGTGCCCTTCGTGTGTTCGAAAAGCAGTCTTGTGGGTGTCTTCGGGTTTCACTCGGATCTGATGATATCCGGATTTCAAATCGAGTTTAGAAAACACCGTTGCTCCTTCTAACTCATCAAACAGTTCATCGATAGCGGGAATCGAGAATTTATCCGGAATTGTCACCTTGTTAACTGCCCGATAGTCTACACAGAATCGCCACCCTCCATCTTTCTTTTTCACCAATAAAACAAGACTGGAGAACGGACTAATGCTAGGTTTTATAATCCCTGAAGTTAACATTTCCTTGACAATGCGCTCTATCTCGTTTTTCTGGTAATAAGGGTACCGGTATGGCCTGAGGTTGGGTGGTTGTGCTCCCGACACTAACTGGATGGTATGATCTTTTGATTTGACCGGTGGTAACCCCGGAAGTGGCTCGAAGACTCTGCTAAACTTTCCTAAAACCTCCAGTAGTCTGTCATCGATGTTCCCCATCTGTTCACACTAAGTCTGTATCTGCCCAAATTCTATCAAACAGCCATGGCCTTCATTCTGCAGTGCTTTAATCATTGCCTTGAGGGAAACCATTGTCTTGCTAAGAGACGGGTCCCAATACAGACAAACTGTCTGGTTTCCCAATGTGAATTTCATCGTCTGTTTCCTCCAATCCGTAACAGTCTCGCCTAAAGTCTCAAGCCACGCAATACCCAGGACTACGTCCGCACTGCTCATATCAAATGGGAAGAAATTTTGAACAATCGTTACTCCTGGTAACTCCATACATACATCCCAACATTCCCCTTCGCATCGCACACTGTACCCGTCACCTACTTTGACCCCGAAAGACTGAGTCCCCACCATTGGAATTCCCAACTGTTCCACCACCGTTGAACTAATAAAATTGTGGGAAGCCCCACTATCAACCAAAACAATCACTTCCTTACCTTGGATCCTTCCTTTAAGCTTCATTGTTTTCGGCCCCTGGATCCCCACCACTGAACTAAGAGAAAGTTCCATATGTTCCTGCTGTTGCTCAGATCTCGTTTCGACAGTGTCTACAATCCCAATCGGATCTGGGTCATCTTCCTCATCGTCAATCAAGATGATCTGAAACTGTTTCTCCCCGCATCTGTGCCCAATCGAATACTTCCCATCGCACCTAAAACAAATCCTTTTTCTCGTTTTCATTGGATCTCTGCGTCTGTCATTCGACGGAAGGGAAAATCTCACCGTGGGAAGTTCTGACGTTCTGACGGCCGGAAAGATGTTGTCGAATGGTCGCCAGCTGGAAAAGTCGTCGAAGATCCTTGCATGGAGGATTCTGGTGAACGACGATTGAAACAGGATGTGGAGTCTTTTAGGGATTCAACGGAGTTGGGAAATTTGGGATTAGTTGGGTTGGGTTCAAATCGGGTCATGCTATTCGGGTGGTGCTGATTAGTTGGGTTGGGTTCAAATCGGGTCGCCATCCTGGATCCTTGATTGTTAGGCCCATAAGATAGACCAAGCCCAGTTATGCGTGAAGGCTTATGTGATCCCATTTGGGCTTCTTCTAAAGCCCGATTTCTATCTTCAATTCGTTGGGCTAATTCCATGATTTGGATTAATGAGTTTGGTTGGGCTAATCTGACTTCAGCCCGTATCTCCACCTTCAGCCCATTCATAAAAGCAGCCTGCAGTATTTTGTCTTTCTCCCCTACCAACAGCGCTGCCACTGCTTCAAACTGGCGACGGAACTCCATGACTGAACCATTTTGTTTGACTGCCATTAAAGATTCGTAGGGGTTGAGTTCTTGTGACCCACTAAAACGCTGCAGTAGTGCCAGCTTAAACATGGCCCACGAGCTTGCCGGAGTTCTGGATTCCGTCCACTGAAACCAATTTATAGCTTCACCTTCCATGCAAATGGCTGCCGCTGTTAACTTCACTTCCTGCGATATCCCTTGAGGTTAAAGTAGCGCTCAACCCTGAAGATCCATCCGTACGGATATTCGCCAGAAAATATGGGCATTTCCAACTTTCGCCCCCCCATTTCACTGCGGCTTGACGCATCGTTCCCAGACCCACTAGCTCCGTTTGGGTTTCCTTCTTGGTGAGAATGTATATTCTCTGCTGACCGTATCTCAGCCCTGCCAGCTTCTTCCTCGTCTTTCCGTCGCACCCAAGACTGCAACTCCACTAAACATTCTCTGATTGTACCCATTTCAACCCCCAACTTCGTAACCTCTCTCTCAACATTATCCATTCTTGAATCCATCCTTGTCAAGACCATTACCCAGACGACAGGGCTCTGATACCAATTGATAGAACCTGTCCTGCAAAAACACCAGCAATACCATAGAATATACCACAACACACAACCAGTCACTCACAATCAACAATAAAATGCCCAGTCTATTAATATCTGCATAGAACACTACAACTAGAACAATAATTCCAGTAGTCTTGCCCTATCAGTACTCACTAAGCAAATGTACTAAATAAACACAGCAAGTGCAATAAAAGAAATGGTACTAAAGGCTGACTTCGAAGGTCAGTCACCTCCCAAAATACTGACTTCGAGGGTCAGTTGCCTCCCTGCCAAATTAACTATTTTTTGTTTGATTCCTCTTTTTCTCTCCTGCCCTTTTTATTCATTCCTGGCACCTTTTGTACTTCTAACCGAATTCCTATTTTTGCTCCTGTCAAGCCATCTGTCCTTTCTAACAAACTCCAACCTTTTTACTTATTCTTCTACTTTTAACCCTCTTGCCTTTCCTATGGTATACCAGTCCTCTGGGTTGTTCATCATTCTGGCAATACAAGGAAGAAGTATCCAACAACAACAATGCCCAAACACCAACAAAAATGCTATGAGATTCATTATAGAGTACATATATAATCTGTCTACTCACAAATTCAATAATTCTTTGCACAATGCTACTGTTATGATTCCTCCAAAGAATTTTCAGTTGTTAAACCTCTGCTCCCACTTTTTTGTTCCAAGTTAACCTTCGTTTCAAAACTTGAATGCTAACTCTTTCACAGTTTCAAGCTTGAGAACCAAAATTACCAAATAACATCAGCTTGAACATCATTATTTAATGTAGCTATCTGAGCTTAATTTCTCTTCTTCTTGTGATTGTTTGTGT